TGGGAGTTGAAGTCCGGACATCTTCAAGTGGCCAAGGTTGAGAAACACTGAGCTAGATGATCTGCCATTGTGCTCACTCTCCTTGAGGAAGGGAAATGTGTCTCCTACCGTCCTTTTTCTGTGGGGAAAGCACCATCTTTGCCATAGCAGTTTGCATAACATCTCTGGACAGGGAATCTTGCTCCTTCTGTGGAGGGGAGGCGGAGGTAACAAATAAAACATTGCATCTTTCTTTGGAGAGCTCCATAGAAGACTCTGTTCTTGGGTAGCCTGAAACAGGCTAATTTCAGTATCAACCCAAAAAAGTTGGGTTGTTTATTTATTTCTTATTTTGGCCTTACTGCCTGAAGGGCGAGAGAAACTCAAATCCCTCAATCCCTCCCTTGATTAGTAATGTAAATTGACAAACCTTGGATGCTCTGAGGTCTGAATGGCTACCATTGACTTCTGCTGCCTCTTGGCTCAGCACTGGAAGCAGCACTTTAAATCCAGTGAAATGAAGTCCTGGAGTGTATTTTCCAAACACGTGTGCTGATTGGATATCACTGATATCATTTGGATTAACACTCCTGGGTCTTTCTTCATTTTGCTTATATTCCATTATGGGAGTTTTTGGTAATTAATATTCCTTTACACCCAAAGAAATAACACAAGGCTTATTTTCACTCCATGCTCTTGACTTTTGAGATATAACAATAATAGAGACATCCATTTATTAACAGACTACTGGGATGCTGGCACTAGTGTTTCCATGGAAACCCACCAGCCTGCAAAAGCCTCCACAGATGTGTTTTTCACTGTAAACATCAAATAGCACCAGTGAGCTTCTACACACACACACACACACACACAGTGAGATGCACTCACCTCTTTCTGACACCTGTACTTTCTCACTTGGTAACACCCTTATAAAAAGATTTCATCTGGTATTTTGCTTTGCAAATTTCTGATTCGGAGGAGGTATTAGAAATTGTGCACTAATTTAGAGACTAATTTGATTCTGCACCTAATAACTGCAGCAAGACTGTTGGTGGCGCAATATTGGAAGAAGGAAGACTTGCCTACAATCCAAGAAT